CTGCCCTTCACGGGCTGGACCTGTCATCAGCTCTGCAGGGACCGGACACCCTCAGCCTCTGCATCACCCATAAAAAATGCCTTTTTCTGTCGCTGCACAAAGCGCCCAGAGGGCAGAGGCACAGCGGAGCCCCCGTCCCCGCCTTCCCCCTCTCACACAGAGATATTGCATTCATTCATCTCAGGGGCCGCAGTGTGCTCGCAGCCTGACAATACATTATGGTGATGTAGGTCTTCATTTCACGCTGTCAGGGACTATAACAACTGTATCTATTACCCAGGGGGGCTAACGGGGCAGCTCGCCCTGAGCTCATCGCCCTGCGCCTGGCTAACGCCATTGGGTGTCCCCTGCCCCCGTCCCTCATCCCCTGCCTGCACGGCGCCAGGAGGAGGGGGCTGCAGTGGGGGGTCCCGGCCCAGGACGGGCGTGGGGAGCAGGAGATGGATGGCCCTGAGAGCTGCAGCACAATGAGGCAATTCCAGCCAGTGCAGCTCATCAATCCCTGCTCTCCTGCACCGCGTTCCCCTCTGCTCAGCCGCCGTTGGTCGGGGTGATAGCCCAGGTGTGTGGCTGTCACAGAGATAAAAGAGGCTTAATTAAGACCCAATAAGCTAAGTGATTTGTTATCTCGGTGCGATATATTACTCCAGCCTATCGATCCCACAAAGGCACATGTGTCTGAGAGCCACTGACACAGCTCTGTCCTTCCCTGGTGAATACATGCCAGCCCTTGCTGCTTGCTGCAGGCAGGGGACAGGGCTGTCCCCTTACATCTCATGCAAGCACAGCAATAGCACGATTTGCTTCTCCCAAGGGAAGGAGCTGCTGGAAGCTGGTGATGCTCAGCTCTGCCTGAAGACCAGCAGTGGGCATGGTGTGGGGACTTGGACATCCCTCTGATGAGGGCTGCCTGTATCCATCCCATAGCAGGAGCAGGTCTGGAAGGTGGCAGTGAGAGAAAAGCCAGTTTCCATTAAACCATGTCCCCATTCAGGGCTGACATCCCCTGGGCCTGTGGCTGTGCCATTTCAGAACCAGGCATCCCCTGAGTTCTCAAAGCGATCCCTTCCCAGCTAAAATCCAACCATTTTCTTTTTCAAAACTTTAAGGCAAGTATGAGGGGGAGAGGGAGGGGAAACCAATTCATTTAACATTCAAAATGTTAAACCGCTCAAGAAGTTCTTTGATCTTTTGAGGTTTTGCTGCAAAGGGAACACCCTTTCCCCATTGGTTTACTGAGTCACGCTTATTACTTCAATGCAGAAATATCCTTTATGTCAAGTGTATAAATATCCAACGCTAAGCCTCAGAAGCCTTTTCCTTTTTTCTTTTTTTGTGTCTGTCTGTTTTTTTAATTCATTTTGCAGAGTGTGTGTCATGCTCTCTGGAGCTGCATCCTGCAGTGGCATCCAGGGCATCCCTGCAGGATGCTGGGTGCTGTGCACTGTGCACGTTGCCATCCTCCCCAAACCCCCTAAAGCACGGCAGCCTTGGGAAAGCAGGCAGAGCAAAGGGAGATGGTAGAAGACTTGACCTCACAATGCAGTTGTGGGGTTTTTTTTGCTAGGAGGATGTGCTTCTGCTGCTATTAGCAAGGATGTGCATCTGCTGGGAAATGCAACCTGCCCCCAGAATTCTAAGGAACGGTCGTAAAAATGGATGTAAGCTGAGTCCCGGCGCTCCCACGTATTCTGCTGGCACCTCGGGGCTGTGGTTGGGGTTCAAAGTGGCCACAGGTGTTGGGGCCCCGGGGCAGAGCTGTGATTGGCACACGGTATTTCAGTGCCCACGCGCCCAGACCTCCCGCAGCGGGGTCTGGAGCCAGGCGTTCCCTCCCGGCTGCCCCACAACTTGGCCTAGAGCTACGTCTGCAAAGGCTCCTGTTCAAACAGCATCGGGGCAGGCAAGCTGGGGCTTGAGAGCAGTGCTGGGGCTGCGAGGTGGTAACCTGTGCTCCAGGAGCTCCGGTGCCTGCAATCATACACTCCCCTTCCCACTGGACTCAGCAGTGGGGAGGGGGTTAGCACCCACCACCCTGCTTTTGGCTTCCAGAGTGAGATGTCACATCCCAACAGGTGTGGGGCAGTCTGTACCGATGCCATGGGTCATGGCAGATAATGTAAAGTATGCTTAGAGTCCTGTCCTGACTTTCCTTTACCAACAAGGAAAGGTCCCAGAGTTCAGCAAATCCCACACTTTGCTCAGTCAGGCACTGGTGCTTCTGCCCAGAGGAGTTGTGGACAGCCCATCCCTCGAGGTGTCCATGGCCAGGTTGGATGGACGCTGGGCAACTTGATCTGCTGTCCACAGCAGGGGGGTTGGAGCAGGAGGATATTTCAGGCCTTTTGCAACCCAAGCTATTCTATGATTCCCAATGGCATCCCCAAAATGGGACGGTGTTCCCTATCTGAGTAAGCTGGGGTGCAGGCTTGGCCAAGAAGGGCTCGTGCTGTGCCACAGCTCACTCAGGCACATGCATCCACCCTGTGCCCACCCAGCAACACTCCCTGGGCAGCTCATACCAGTGCAGCACAAACACGCACCCAACACCCCTCCCTTGAGCTCCTGGTTGCTTTCCTTGCTGGATCCCACCCCACTGCCCAGCCCCACAGCATGCTCCCAACGGGTCGAGCAGGGCAGCCCCCGGGCTTTGCTCTCCCCAGCACAGCAGTGGGGCTGCCAGAGCCGCTCTGTGCCCATCGCTGCTGCTCACCTCCAGCAGGGCAGCAGGCACATGCTTTCCTTCCCTTGCCTTTTCCCCACGAAGGAGGTCACACCCTCTGATTACCTAACAGCAGCCGGCTCTCGGCAAAGCAAACAAACTTGACATTCACATAACCTGCCGCGCTCTCTCCGGCAGGGATTATTAAGTCATTAGAGTCTGTTAGCAAATTTTCCCAAATACCTTTTTCGCTTCTTCCCAGGGGCACCTTCATGGTTAACGATCCCAAACTGCAGGCTGGGCTGAAATCCATCCACTGCAGCCCAGCGACCATGGGGGGTGTAGGAGCTGCGGAGGGGATGTTGGGAGCTCCCCCCAGGGCATTCCTCCGTGAGGATGCTCAGCTCTGAGCACCCCGTGAGCAGCAGAGCCCAAGGAGGGGTTTTTGCAGATGCAGCAGCCCAGGGAGGGCAGGGAAGGGGTGAGGTGTCCCCCCAGCAGGGAGGTGACCCCCATCTTCCCTCAGTAACACACACCCGCTTTTCTCCTTCGCTGAGCTGGCAGCCCAGGGCGATATTTCTAACAGGCAAGTGTATTGCCTAACTGGAGACAGAATAAAAAATAATCATAAAAAACCAGTCAGGCAGGCCAGGTCAGTGCAGAGGAGATAGGTTTCACCCACCTGCAGCTGACTTGCCCTCTCGTTCTCAGGCTGAACAGTGTGTACATCAACAGCCTGATGAGATGCAGTTTGGTAACTCAGGGCAGCAGGCGAGCTGTGCCCGTCCCCGGAGCCCCTCAGCACGAGCAGCCCTGATCCCAAACCCACCATCAACTTTGTGTTGGGGTTTATCCTATAGAGCTCTTTGGAGGTGGCTCCCCATGATGGATGCTCCATGCCCCCCCATCCTGCCCAACCACCCGCATGTTGTGCGGTGTCTCAAGAGGAGAGGAGCTTGCAGGAATCCCCGGCATCTGCAGCCTCTCCCCAGGGTGCTGCTGGGGAGGCTCTGCCAGCAGACACCAGGGTTTCTGCAGCCCAGGGGCTTGGCGAGAGACAGGAGAAGATGCAGAGCATCCAAAGCCCAGGGGCCCACATGGCACAGTGTGTGTTCCATCTCAACAACCCCCCAGGTTTTCCATTTGCAGCAGAAGCCAGGTCTGAGGGAAAGAGTACAGCTAGCACCTTAGGCATAGGCAAGCAGGGAACACCAAGAAGTGCTTCATATTTTAGTCCCAAGCAGTCTGGCACATTTGGGATTGATTAACTAATTACAAAACCCTCATCTGTTTCTATTCACATCAATAAAACCAGAAATGACAATAAACCTATTGCTGCGAACATCACCTCTGGGCTAGCTCTGTACAGAAACACACTTTCTGCTCAGACACCACTAAGGTGCTTTGGCCAAAATCTCTCAGCAGACACAACCAGGCCATGCTTCCCAACCCAGACCATCAGCACTTTTGCTGCCCTGGAGAATCACATCACCGAGGTGTCATTTGGGATGGAGTCACCCAATTCTGCAGCCGCTGCAGGAACCCAATCCTGCATTCCTGCAGCTGCTGATGCATTTTTAGGACCGCAGCACCGAGACCCCTTAAGGGTTAAGGTTAAGTTGCATGGGAAAGAAAGAAAGTGCCCTACTCCACTCTTGTCCTTAAGGTGGTGGGGGTGGTGATGGAAACAGGCGGTGCTGGGTGGGGATGCAGAGAGGTGTTGGCAGCAATGCCTTCATCATGGAAAAGTCTCTGATTTCCCAGGCAAATGCAAGAGCCACAGAAGCTGGAAACACCTTTCCCTAAAGCTTCTCCCCAACCCCTGCAGGCACAGAGGGAATGGGGTCTGTGCAATGGGTTGGGGGGGGGAGCAGCCCAGCCCTGGGGCAGCTCCCAGCTCCACACCCAGCCCAGGACACAGCAGGACCCCCGGCAGGGGAACTGCTCCTCTTCGCCCAAGGTGCTCATGGAAAGCAATTTGTCACATGAGCCTGTTTGCTTCCAAAATAAATCTCCCTTAAAGGCAGGTAAATCTCAGGCTGGATCTGTTAGATACCCTAATGTGGCATTAAGCTGAAGTTAAGGTTATATTCCTCCAGGGATGCCAGATGGGATTTGCTTTCCTTGAAGACAGGACACGTATTTCAACTCTAATGGGTTGATGGAGCCCCTTTTATCTTGTAAATATGAATGAGGAAGGGGGAGCTATTAAATAAATGGAGGGGTTTTACCTGAGCCTTTTTCCCTGTCATCGGTTTGGACTGTGTTAAAGATCTTTGTTTTCTCGGTGGAAAACTCGCTCAATCATTCAGAAAGGAACTAAATGCCTTTTGAGAACATAACCTTTATTTTCCAGATAAATGGCTCACTCAGAGCAATTTGCATGTGGGAAGCTAGCATACAGTGCAGTAAAAATATATATATTTAAAACCCAATAGCAATGTAGGTCATCATACAAACATCAACTGCTGAGATGACTTCTCTGGGGCTGGAAAGCTAGGGAGCTCAAGGCAATTCAAAAGGATGGGGAGGTTTTGTGCAGCAGATCTGCATAGGGCTGAGCAGAGGGATGGATCTACATCATCTCAGTAAGTCTGACCAAATAAATGACCCCCACCAACCCCACTCTGCCACCTTCATCCCCAGGGCTGGGTTTACAGTCCCATCACAGCCACTCTCTCTTTCTCCCAAGTTCTCTCCAGCACCGGTGCCACCACTGGTCCCTGACACCTATCACACAGATCCAGTGGCACTTGACCATCACTGCCCCAGCACTGTGATTCCATGGCCAGGTGGACAAGCCACCACCCCCAGAGACTCCAGCAGCAGGATTCCATACAGCTCCCAACTCAGTGCCCCCCACAACGGCTCCTCACCCCTTGTGTAAGCATTTGCCTGCTGGGAATGGACCCATTTACCCAACCCAGAAATAGTCCCAGACCTCCATGGCTATGCAGATCCCAGGCTGAAAGCCATCACCACCTCCTGCGTGGTAGAAAGGGACCTGCAAGGCATTCCCCCCGCCTCAGCATTCCCCTGCTGTTGGATGGGGCAGAGCTGCAGCCCTGGGAAAGGCACTGGGAGCCGCCGCCAGCAGCTGCAGCACGATGCCAACTCCAGCTGCTTGTTAATTACGGTAACATGTTGTCTCATGTACGCACCTCCGCGAAGACGCTGTATTAGCTTGATAAGTATTTAACACTTGGCACAGGGGGGTGGGTTCCACTCAGCATGGGGCTGAGCAGCAGGGAGGCAAGGTGGCACGAGCAGGGCACTGGGAGAGGGCAGGGCAGCAGGTCCTGGCAGCGATGGGGACTGAGCCTTGCATGGGCTGGGTTAGCACTGCTGACAATGGGGCTGTGTGGGATCCCGGCTTTTGTAGCCTCCTGCCACCACGCTTCGTGCTCAGAGCCGCCCCTGCACAAAGCCCAGACGCTGCTCTGAGCTTTAATCCGTCCTGCAAACGGGTATTGTCATCGCCGGTGCCTTTCTTCAGCAGGCTTTTCTTGTTGGCTCTGCATGGCTGGCCGCCGTGTAGCTCCCGTTGTGCTGGTGGCAGGGGAACCACGCAAACACGCGTTCAGGTCCAACGTGCTGCTCAGGAGACATCTTCATCTGCAGGGCTGCCCGCCTGTGCTGAGCCATGGGAAAATGAGCCGGACGTACCCATGTGGTCCAAGGAAATTTCCTTCCTATATGACCAATTCTGGGCAGGGTTGGGGATGATCAGACCCTCCTCATCTCCAGGGCTCATCACAGCCCCCAGAGCCAATCTGCTATGCTCTCCCCACACCTTACATGAGGCTGTGGACAGCACAGCAGCACCACCTCCGCTCTTCATTAGCAGGTTGCATTGGCCTCTTCCAAAGGTCTGAATGCAGATAAATCTTTTTTTTTTTTTTTCCCCTGAATCAAAATCAGTAATTATGAGTCAGTGTTAGCACAGAGCCGGTGAGTCAGGCACAAAAGCATTTTTCCCTCTCACCCTCCAGGTCTAAGGTACATCACTTGCCTGAGCCTCCCGTGTGTGGTCTTCATTCAGGGCTTTCACAAACATCATTAGCAATCCATGGGCGAGTTCAGAAACAACCCACAGCCAACGCTGCCACCTCCTCTTCAACTCCCCAGGGTGGGAAAGCACCTGGGAAATGCACAGGTGGCCCCCACCTGCTCTGTGACAGGGATGCAGAGCAGAAATTTCTGCCTTTCCTACAGAGCTCTGCTCACTTTCAGGTTGGCAGCCAATGTCCAGCGTGAGCATTGGCCCCAGAGGTGTCCAAACCTATTGCATCCCCAGCACCTGGCTCTAGCAAAAAGGGCTTCAGGCACACTGGTGCCCTTTCCCTTCAGCAGGATGGTACCCAACAGTCTGGATGTCCCCAGCTCCAGAATTCTGCTTCTCAAATACCACAAGCCCCCATCCCACAGCCAGGGGAGGGCTCTGAGGTGGGGACACAGCTCAGCCCAGCAGTCCAGCCCCCCAAGCAGCCCATTCCTCCCTCCCAGCTGCACACCCCAGATTTCCCCCGCACAGACGTGCACTTGCTTGCCTTTGAGCTCTGGTGGGTTACTAGAGGGGGTGTTTTGCTGATGGGTGGGGATGGTTATGGCTGCATATTGCCTGCCCACTCCCTTTGATGCCCGACTCATCTCCTTACCCCGTCTCTGCTCCTTACATCTCTATGGAATTTAACTCCATCCTTCCCATTGGTGGCTGCTCCTCCTGCAAGCCAGCCTTGTGTCAAAGGAAGGATGCTGCCCAGCACCAAGCACCAGAGCTATGCATGCATGGGAGGACTCCACGCGTTCGTTATTTGGGCTATCTCAGAAGCAAAAAATAACGTGAGGAGCTGTCAGCTTCCAGCTCCTCTGAGGAGATGAGCCCAGCGGATGTGCTTACTTTCTTTTCCTCAAAGCACGCAAAACCCCAACAAAACAGACTTTGTTTACAGCCCATCCTATAAACCGCTTAGGCAGTCGGAGATGAGCTGAAAGCTTAGACATGCCGTAGAGTTACAGCCAGATGTGGTTTCCAATGGCTGAGTTAGGCACCTCGGAAACTCGAGGTTTATTAATGAAGGTGCCCGCTGAACCATAACGGGTGCTGTAATTACCTGGCTCCGGGCAGCAGGCAGTGCTGCTGCAGCCAACCATGCGCCCGGCCGAGCGGACACAGCATCTCCTGGAGGTGAGTGAGGAGGTGAAGGTCATTCCCCATGCTGACAGCTCTAAGGCTTCGGTGGATGGCTGGGGGGAGATAACAGAGCCCGAGGGTCACGGCTGATAAGAGATGAAAAGGCTCTGGGGGTGAGGAGTAATGGTGTGTGAAGGGCGATGCTCTGCTCCTGGTGACAGCGCTGGGTCTGAGGATGGTCACCCAGCGACTGGGACACCCAGCACGAGGTGGGAGCTGGGCCTTCCCCAGTTCAGACCAATGGGAGGAGCTCCCTCCCAAGCCTTGCATCACAAGGGCTGTTCCATAGGGTGATGCCAATGCCCCGACCACCACGAATCCCCTGCAAGGAGGAAACAATGGCAAGCAATGGAAGCTACATATACCCAAGAGCCTGCAGTAAAGGGAGAAGGGGCCACAGGGCCCTGCAGGGGTACAGGTGAACCCATGTGTCCTCCCCATCCCCGCTGCATGGCCCCAAGGGGCGAAGCTATCGCCTCACCAAGGAGGCACTGCTGGGAGCTTTTCACACCTGATTTTGTCTCTTGAAGTTTCACACCAATGAATAACTGTGACCTCGGGAGGGAAGTGCATCGGCTGTATTTCCCAAATATCAGCAAATTGTGTGAGAGAAAGAGATATGCTAAGGGGGCAGGCTGCTCAAACCATTACCATCCTTCTTAGTACCACTTAGCTGAACCGTTAAAAAGATCCAGGGCTCCCAAAGACAATTAAGCTCAAGGGAAGCCATAAATCTCAATAAACATCAGGCCAAGTTTTCTTCACTGCTTGAAACAACAGATATAATTTCATTGGTTACTGAGCTCATGCTCCCAAAGGGATTTCAGATAAAAAGCCACTTATTCAAAACACCAAACTCAGGCTTCTCCTGTCTCTCAGGCTACCATGGGGTCAGATTTCCCAGCATGGGAACATGCGCCCCGCGGTCTGCAGAGGTGGAGCTCTGACTGCAGCAAACCTCTGCAGATTTATGGTGTCTGCAGCACGGTGCTGTGACCCAGCAGTGGGGTCAGCAGTCGGCACCTGCGCTCAGGTGGCCCTGCTTGGATGCACGGGTTGCTGCTGGAAACAGCCTGCTGCTTGCAAAGCCTGCTCTGATCTGCACGCTTGTTCCCGTGGGCTGAGGTCTTGCATGGGCACAGCTACAGCCTAGAGGACACGGTGCTTTGCCAAGCCAGGTGCAGTGCTGGTATCTATAACCTGTTGAACTGAGATAGGTGTCCCAGAGCACATCAGCTCTCCTTGCTGTTCTAGGGGAAAACTGGCAGCTTGTCCCCATGCTGGTCACCCAGCCTATGGCCAACACCTCTCGTCCATATGTTTTCCTATACAGACATCACTGTGTCTGAGGTCCATGCTAAGGCAACACATGGCAGCCCGCGTGCCAGCCTTGCTATTTTTTTAATTTTTTTTACCAACAGCTTTTGCATCTGCAGGGCTGGGCCCTTGGCTCTGAAAGCTCTCTGCAAGGTCGCTCCATTCGCCAAGTGCAGCTTCTTTGTGCTTTGATTTAAGTTCTTGCGTGCTTCTTGTATTGATTTCTCTCAGATGTATTTTATGGGGAATAAGCACTCAAACCAGAAGGCCAAGACCTCCCGCCTTGTGCGCAGCATGGTAATGGATGAGCTCCTTCTCACGCTCCCTCCCTCCCTCCCCACTTCTCTCACCTTTTATTTAATCCGAATCCAAAAGCACTGGGGTGAAGGATGGCCAAGGCACAGACATGTGAAGCTTCTCTGCTCTGGGTACTCAGCATTGAGCCAAGCAGGGCACGGCGCAGCTGCAAGCAGGAAGGCTTCACTGCTCAGGCTGCAGATGGTTTCCCCTTGCAGAGATGAGGGCGATCACCTCCTGGCACCCCCAAGAACCTGGGGAAGAATCAACCTTCCGAAATCCCAAATCCAGCCCACTGAAATAACCATACTGTGATGAAGATGAGGAATTCAAACGTTGTGCAATACACTTCCATCTGACGTCAGGAGCTGAGGAGCTGGGGTTTGGAAGGCAGCCTTCCCTCTGTACACAGGAGGAATAAAAACATTATTATTGTCTTTCTCAGTGAACTGCAAAGCCTGTTTTTAAATGAAACTTGAGCTCCCCATCTCATCACGTGCTTCCAGGAGCTGGAGCTTTCCGAAGACCAAATACTTTGAAACTCTGGATAAGACCATTAGAGTTGCTTAATTTCCTTTACGTCCATCTGTTTCAGTTCAGCTCGGTTGCTTCTGTCCCAGACAAGACATTTGGCTCTTCCAAATAAATCTTATAGCCCATTTGGATTAAAGACTTTCTGATGCAGTCTCTGAATATAATCCCTCTGATTTGCATCTCAAAGAAATTGAGTTAAAACCAAGCGAGAACCATACACAGAGCGCTCAGAATTGCTGGGGGATGTGATGCACTCGTGAGGTCCCATATGGATAATGGCACTTTTGTTTTTGATTTATCCTGAACTGCCCCACTCCTATGGCTGTGTTCACACCAGCACACTGCAGGACTTCCAAAGCAAACAGAGTGAGAACATAACTGACTGCTCCTGCTGTTGTCCAAAGCTTGAGTTTTGCACCCGAGAAACTGAGAAGGCTGCAGAGAAAGCGTGAGACACACTTAGGAAGTGTGGGACAGCAGATCTCCCCGTAGCGACAGCAGAGGGTGAATGATGACTAACATTGGAGCTGAGTCAGGTTCAGTGCCATTCTGCCCATCAGCTCCTAATAGGTACTTTGCTCATCCTCAGAGGCAACGCTGACAGAGGTCTCAGTGGTGCTCTCCTATGGCTGCTCAGTGCTTGGAACCTTATTGTGTTTTTGTGCAGGAGAGCTCAGGTCACGGGATGCCTGGGTGCTATTCCTGGCAGTAACACAGCCCCTTCCTTCCCAGACAAACCCTTCCCCCTTTTTATGTCCCACAGTGCCTGCCTAGGAAACAGCTGTGTGAGATGTTGGGAGCCCCAGGTCCCCACTATTACCTCCCATTCTGTAGGGTGGGAAGCCAAGTCACAGTGCAGGCAGGTGGCACAGGTACCAGCCTCACATCAGAAGACACTGGATACAAGCAGGAACCCTGGGCACTAGGACAAAACAGACACCCACGCTCCTAATAATGACAATAATTAATCATGGGGGAGGAGGGAGCAGCAGTGCCCCAGCCTGAACCCTCACCCAGAAAGCCCTCATTTTCCCCTACTCACTCACCACTGAACAGCACAGGCTCCAGCCAAGCTGACCCAGCACAGACCACCACCCTCCTCCTACCACCACCTCAGCCCTAGAGACATTACAGAGCCATTAAAAGCCAAATTCATTTCCACAGCTGAAACCAACTGCCCGTAATGCAGTATTTTTTGCAGCTGTGGTTCAGCATGGCACCTGAGAGCTGTGAGGTTAATGACACAGGGCTGTCAGCAGCCTTAATTATATTCCCATTTTTCCAGCCCCTGATTAGCTTTAGAGCTCATCTGGTGTCAGAAATTTGGTGCCTAAGCTTTGACAAAAGTGTTTCATTATTACTTAATAAATGGGTAAAGAGGGAGCGCGTGTATTTAAGCTCTGCCTCGTTAAAGCTTCTTTTTTTTTTTTATTATTTAACCTCACCAAAGCTCCCTACCTGGCTGGGAGCCCCACACTGGGATGCTGGGGGAGCACAGCCCCGTTATCCCCTCCCCAAACTTGGCCCCATAACTCCCATGAATGTGCCCTGTTTTGCTGGGAGCCTGCTGCTCCCCATCAGCCAACGGCCAATTAATAAGGATCATTTATTACTGTTATATCGCCTCTAAAGCAGGCCAGGTGTTTGCGTTATAAAAAAAAAAATCAAGAGATTTAAAAATAATAATAATAAAAGCACAAGCTTTACATCAAAGCCCCAAATGGCTTAAAATCTAAAGCAGAGCTTAGGTTGTTCTCGACATTCAATTTCCTCCAGCCCTCAGCACAGTTAATTAATTTGAATATTAATAATAATGGTGAGAAGGAGCCCTGAATCTTTTCTCTCCTTTTCCATTGCAGGCCTCATCACGCCTCAAAGAGGTGCCCAATTCCTGGGTATTTCCCCCCAAAATCCTTGCAGCTCTCAGCCTGTGCCTTTTTCCCTTTGCAGGAAATTCCTGGAGTGAAATCAGGGCAAAAACACCCTATTGGCACTCAGGATTTCAGCTGGCTCTGCTCTCATGCCTGGGTGAGACGTGGGAAATCAGCGCTTCGCTCTCCAGCATCACGAGTTGGTTGCACTCTTTTCACCTGATGCAGCCCCCCAAAGCCCCTCCTGGGTTTGTGGGCTCCTCCAGCAGCATTCCCACTCTTCTGTGAGGTCGGGAGCACAGGGCTGCCCCACAGGGCTAGATTTATGGCCCTGCTGTATGTCAGTCCCTCTGGGCTTGGCCATTTCCATGGCGGCTGCTGGAGATCAAGGCCGCTCTCGATGACGGCATCCTTGACCTGTGATCAAGCTGAAGCCAACGGAAGTTTCCAGCAACATAAGCCACTTAATGTTTAACTTCTGTGGTAGCTTCTGGAGACTGATATGATATAATTTTGGCTTTGCAAAGACAGCTTAGCTCAAGGGAGCGGACTGCAAATCATTAGCAGGACTGTTCTCACCCCAGCTCCTTGCTTTTAATTGCTGAGCAAAGCGGCATGAAGCATTCCCAGCGAGGAGCTGCAACCACATGAAATCTGCCTCATTTGTAGCTTCATTCCAGCACAGCCACACATGATGGAAGTCAGGCTGATATTAACAGGGCCACTCCACAATGATGGTGGGGATGGAACCGGGCTCAGAACTCATCTAGAGCCCAAAGATGGATGAGGAACAATGACTTCTAATTGACAGAAGCACCACCCAAGCAGGAGGGATGGGATATTTTCAGCACAGCCTCCACTGCCCCATGCTGCGCTCAGCTCCTCTGGCAGCCCATAGAATTGACCTCAGCTCCCCATCCATACCATGGGTCCTCGTGTCATGTGTGCTCTGCAGGGCTGTGCTGAAGGGCAAGCATGGGGCTGGCTGAGCTGAGCCCTCCCAGCCTAATAACCACATTAATTAGAGCACAAGGCCCCTTCTTCCCACTGTAAATCTCCATTAGCCATAAACTGGAAGGGCCATAAAAAGGAGTTTACGACAAACTCACAAGGCGATACGTGTTTGAATCCTTGGCTCCGTTGCAGTCGGTAATAAAGCCTTCTTTTATTGGAGCATACACTCTGCCCTCGAGATAACATACAAGGCCCAGGGCTCCTCAAAGAAATGATGCAAAGCCATTTGTTGCACTTTGATTTGCTGCAAAGCCACACGGAGGTAGGAGAGCAGAGGGAGGCGGCCAACGGGCTTCAGCACTGCCAGTCCCATCTCAGCCCCCAGCCACCACAGCATGGCAGGGTGGGAGCCTCTGTGGTGCTACATCATAAGCATAGCAGTTTAAAAAAAAAAAAGCTTGAGGTTGATAAAAAAAATAGACAAACCTGCCCTATGAGAAGTTGGTTCTCAGAGAGCGATAGGTCGGGGTGCTGTGTTGGAGGGAGTTAATGGTTAAGCTTCTGTTTTTGTTTATGAGTCTGGTGCAGATAGTGCTGCACGTCATCAAAATAGGTGCAGACTCATTGAGGAGCATAAGGGCCAAGCCTGGAGGAGATCTGTAGGCATCAAAGTCCCAGGCAGGGCATTTAGAAAAAGGACCAAAAAAGAAAAGAAGGAAAGATGGACACCTGCAGCTGGTGGGGTACCTGGGCACCAGCCCATCCCACTAACACTGCTCTCCTCCCTGCTTCTCTCAGCAAGGTTTGTTGGAGGGTAAACATCAGCACTGCATTGGGTACAACCCATTCCCCATCTCTGCCTTCCTCCTGGGTGATGCTCCCCTTAAAAAAGGAACCCAAAGTCCTCAGGCGTGCACCTCCCTTCCAAAGGCAACAGCACACTCATTAATCCCGGCTCAGTCTGAGGCAGCCACAGACAGCGGTATGAAATCATGGCTTTTATTTAGTTCAGCAGTTAGGTATGATTGTTCTGAACTGCGATTCAACCCTGCTCCCTTCCATCTCCGGCGGTGTTAAAAGTAACAAGTCTATCACCTCTGGAGCCATTTCTCTGTCGCTCGCATCTTGCTGGAGCTGCAGAGTTTTGCTGGAGGGCTTCATCTCTTCCAGACAGCCACCTGTCAATTATCCCTCTGCCCGACAAATAAAATAAGCAGCCAGAGACTGTACACACAATAGCTGGCCCCATGTGTTTGCAGCAGACCTGCTGGAGGAGCTGAGCTGATGTTCCAGGAGCCACACGCGTGGCTCCAGCACTGCAGTCCAGGCTTCCCTTCAAGCTGAACCCCCCCCACACTGCTGCCTTTATGCTGGAGGATATTTCCAACTGACTGCTAACACAGAAGATTTTGGGGCCAGTGCTGGACTCAATGTCAGGTGTGATCAGACCTGGGAGGGACCTGCCCTGATTCCTGGTGGCAGCACCACTCCATGGCTCTGTTCCTGACTTACCATGATGGGTAGGTTTGTATTCATAGATATGTGCAATCTCCCTTTTGTCCTTACACATATTGCTTTTTAACATAGGCACAGGCACTTTCCATACACCAGCTCTTCCTCTTTCACTGATTTCCCATTGGTCTCCTCATCCCAACAACCTGTGATGGATGGAGAGATGATGGATGAATGGAAGGAGCACCAGCCATGTTGATCTCATGTGCCATAGCCATGTCTTCCAAGCCATCACCTTGACATCCTCCTCCTGAACACCTTCAGAATCTGTCTCAGATCTTTCTGACCCAATGTAGCAATCACTAGGGTTCATCTGGGACATCAGCAGGTCTATGATGATCCTACAAAGCCTGAACCCCACACTTCCAAGTTCCCATAGAATCATAGGATATCCCAAGTTGAAAGGGACCCATAAGAATCATCAAGCCCAACTCCTATGAAAAGCTCCAAAACCCACCCCACAACTACCTGCTGTGCTTGGCCTCATCCACGGCAGCTCTCCATGTGCTCCCCATTTAGATCCTTTCCCAGCTGGGTCTACAAGCCAGACATACTTCAAGGAAGAAAAATAGAATCACTAAGGTTGGAAAAGACCTCTAAAGATCCAAGCCCATCCTCAACCCACCCCACCATGCCCACTGACCTCAGTGCCACATCTCCATGGCTCTGGAACATCTCCAGGGACCAGGACTCCATCACTCCCTGGGCAGTTCCAAAGCATTACCACTCTTTCAGAGAATAAATTTTTCCAACCTGAGGAGCTGGAAGGCTCCACAAGCACTGAAACCCCAGGTCTGGCTTTTTAAAGATGAATATTCCACAGAGAAATTAGTCATTGTTTTTTGTGGCTGTTTTACAGAGACAGAAAAGAAACTGATGTAACAGCAGACAGCTCTGAGAAAGCCATCTGAGCAATACACCTTGCCCCTCTCTGAGACACCCATCCCACTCCTCTGACTCCTGCAGAGAGCCTCACATGGCCATGGGGCTCTGGGAGGGGGTGGTGGGGAGGCCAAACAGACCAAGCCAGCAGCCTGCAGCCAAGCTGGGATGAGATTTCAGTCCCTTTCTTCAGCCCTATGCCACTGCTGTGCTGCTCCTGCTACCGAGTGCCTGGCAGTCACAGGGCCATAACAAACATTACTCATCCCCATCCAGTGCTTACCAGCTCCAGCTTCCAGCAGTCACGCATGACGCATGTGTTTACCACCAGTGGGAGGGTTTTATATATATCTATATGTTTTTACTGCAGTAAGTGTCCCTGTTTTTGAGGACAGAGGAATTATTACCCAACGCTTTCATGGTATAACAAAGAGCATATGTTGTACCCGGCATAAATTTAGCTTCTGATCTGATGAGCAAGATTTTTTTTTTATTATTTTTTTTTCCCCCTTCTCTGCCTCTAAATGTACAGATGAGTGCTTACATTCGTCCCTAATGGCAGCAGGGAAGGGGAATGCTCAGAGCGAGCAGCGCACGCACACAAACACATGCACAGAGCTAGAAAAACACCCCGGGTTTTTAAATCTACCCAGCAATCCTGCAGTAATCTGCTCAGTCGTAGTCACAAATATAACTCAGGGACAATAAATAAGCTAACGGGAGTTAAATAAGTTCAGCTCCTTAACCTTTGGACGGATCAATCCCTGTGTTATCTCATTTCTCCCTCAGCCCCTCTCCATCCCCCACACCTTGTCTCCTCCCTCCGTGTTGGTGCCAGGCAGTGGGCAGACACATGGGGAGGTGGCAGGGAGCTGGGACATAGCAGAACACCCAGTGCTGCAGAGAGAGATATCACTAACCACTTCCTTTCTGAAAACAGTGCGTGTGTATAAGCAGCAGCAGGGTTCACTACCTACTGGCATCCCGTGTGCCTTGCAGGGCTCTCAGACCCTTCAGAGGGATGCAGTTGGAGTGCATGTGAGGAAAATCCCAGATTTAAAAAGGGCCCAAAGGAGCAATTTGCAAAAGGTCCTCAGTTCCCATAGTCAGCATAGGATGCTCAGCCCTTGCAGAGGGCTTTGAGCTCCTGAAATTCCCTCTCTGGCAGCTGGGAATTGCATCCCCTGGGTGTCCATAGGGAGGGATCTGTGTGTGCCCACCCTGTGTGGGCCAGCAGGCTGCTTATCAGCTCTTCCTGCCCCTTGCTGTGACTCATTCTGTGAATGAAAACACACTCATTGGGAAAGTATGAGCATCTGAACGAGATGCCAGCCAGCAGACACTGCACTGGAAGGAGGTGGGCAGGTAACTGTGCACATCTCAGTGCATCCTCACAGCATGCACACCCACCCAAGTAGCAGAGGTTTTTCTTTTGAGCCTCTCAAGAATGGAGCAATTCCAGCATCATTCCTGCTGCCATCTCACAGCTCATCCCAAGGGAATGACACTGCCATCTGCCTTCTGTGGGACCACAGAGGCTGCCTCTGAGTGGGGAAAAAGAAGCTGCTTTCCAGCCCTCCACCCCCAGAAGATGAGTTGGAGGAAATTAACAATGATGCACAACTGAAAAAATTGAATGGTTAGAGGGAGTTCAAAGCTGAGCCACTCTTGAGACATCTGCACACCACATGCCAGGCTGAGAGAAGTGCTCATAAATCCTTCCAGGCTGGCACCGATGGAATGGAGCTCAGAGCACTCAACCCAACTGGGAGAGTTCCCAGTGCTTCTGTTCTGAGATGGCTGAAAACTCCATGGAAAGGCACAAGTGAGGGAAGGAAAGCAGCTTAGTGGGAAACACTGAGTCATCTGAGTTACCTTCGTTTTGTAAATGGTTACTGTTCCAGTTACCAGAATGTCATGTCCATTGAAAAGTGCATTTCATGATTCAAACACAGATTTCCAGCAGACCTGGGGATGACAAGACAAGCATGATATGAGTCTTCATACAATAGGAAGGCAGCTGTGAACTAACATGGTAGAAAAAAACAGAGCCCAGCTACCTGGAGGAAAGGCCATTCTTCCAATAGAAGTGAAGGAACCTGCACTGGGTGAAAAATGTCAATCCCCTGTAACAGAGATCAATAAGGCGATGGGATCGGTCTGCTCACACCAGCTGCCACTGATCTATTGCTGTTTGCAGAGGCTTTCATTCTGCTTGTCTTTACAACTTGGCTAATAGGAAAAACTTCACAACATTAAAAAGAGAAGTGAGTGAACAACCCAGAAATCAAAGGTGAAGGAGATTTGCAGCTGAGCAGCCTCAGGATGCTGTGTGCTGGAGGTACCAACCAGGCAGCAATCCAATAGCAAGGTCCCAGGCTGCAACAAACAAGGACTTGCTCAATTGCAACAGCCATAAGCACAGAAATGAAGGAAAGAAGCTGCTTACCTTCAGAAGGCCTCAGTGCACAGGGATCTCCAGCAAGAAGCCTTTGCTATGACTACCAGCTTTTAAGCAAGGTCTGGGCAGGGGTGGATCCTGGCTCCAGCCCTTCTGGTCACTCAGTGCATTGCAAACACCTGAGCTGCCCTGGGTTGGCCCTGCCTTCCCACCAGGTGCTCAATCACTGCTTCAAGCCCTGACTTAGCATTTCTGCTACAGCTGCCATGCCTAGGCTTTCTCAGTTGCTCTCACTGCAGACGTTGCTTTCTCCTAGAAGAAAGTGGGGTTAAAGGCAACTTAAAGACATGACCTGTGCCTGCCAGGTGGCTGCTCTGCTGGTCTTTGAGTATGGAAATGGCTGGTGGCCTCCAAGTCCAACAGCAAGATGCCCAGAACTCCCACAAAGGATCAGCATGGGAAGAGATGAGGACTGCATTCTCACAGATAACAACCCCCTGGGGCAGCAAATAAACTGTTGGCAGCAGAGTGACCCACAGATTCCCCCTACTCCACCAAAGAAACCCAAACCAACCCAAATCCGCTCCCAACACCTGAAGCATCACCACTGTCTGATGACGAGAACCAGAAGCACAAGGTGTAGTTTGGGCTCAGCGGACAGATAGGCAGAAGAATGGGATGGAGCCTGGTGCCCCGGGCATGCTGCATCCATCTCTCTGCAGGAGCCTCGCAGTCTGACACCGCTCATCAGAGCACTCAGTCTGCAGAAGCCCTTCAGAACATAAGGGCTCCCATGGGGATGCTCGAGACCAGACTTTCCTAAAGTGCTCAGCAAACACCTCACGCTCTCTGCTTTTTGGAAACTCTGACACACACACGGCTCTCGACACTGCTGTCTCATATGCGTATGGCTGACTCAGATAGATATATGGCTGGCTTAGCATACTTCCCTTTCTTCCTCCCCTCCCCCCGGAGTTTTGCATGTCTGAGGCTGTTTCGGATAAAAGATACCAAAAATGAAAATGCATTTGGGATGTCTGGGAACCAAAAAGTCAGACTGCAAGAAAACCAGACAGGGTTAGAGCCCCAAATCCCCGTCTCCTGCCAGCAATCTAAACCCTCTGCTGACTGCAGGTTCCAAGGCTCCATTTGCTCCACGGCAGCAGCAGCAGTAGCTATTTCAGAAGTGTATTCCATCAGCAGTAATGGGTCTTTCCTCATAAGCTGTGTTTTCATAGTAAATCTTCGGTCTTACATTGCATTACAGAGTTCAGCTGCCGCTAATCCTTAAAAACAATTCATTTCCAACTGCAAAGTGCAATAAAGAAAGGATAATCACTATTAATATTAGTTATTGTTATTGATTTCAGCTTTAAAGAATTGATTTTCAGTCCCAGCTGCATTTATGAGTCTCTTTGCTGAAGATGCATACACAGAGCCCACCACTGTTTTCAGACCCTTTCCCCAAGCTCCTGGCTGTGGACGTGGTGGGAGGAAGATGGCTCTACACTGGTGATGCTGCCACAAACCTGCCCAGGTTGGGGACATTGCCACTGGGCTTGCAGCCCCAAATAATAACCCCCCCTTCTTTTATTCTATTTCACAACGGAGCAATTCTGTGACTCAGTGCTCCCATGGAGGAATGGCACGCAGCCCAAAGTGGAATCGCTGTGGTTGGAGGGCAGGGGATGCCAACCTCCACGGGTTCTCTTCCACACATCCATGGCAGCTTCCTACGTGCACACAGAGGAAAGCACGGAGATTAAAAAGAAAAGCATTACTGCTTCCTAACAGCGAGTCCTACGATACCACTGAGCCTTCCAAACCCTTCCGGAGCTGTAAATTCAGTTTTAAAGTCTGCTCATGAGGATGGTTCTGCCTGGAGTTCCCATTCCAACTGCCTTCACAGCTCCTTTAAAAGACAAAAAAATGGCCTTGAGGCAAAGAACCCCCTATGGTGGAGGGGCAGAACCAGGCTCTGCCCCACTGCAGCACTCCTGTAGCACCATCTCGGAGCTGTGGGTGCAGTGGGTGCCCCAAAGCAGCCAGTGTGTGATGGGGAGGTGCCAAGATGGGAAACACTGCTGAGAGGAAGAGAAAAATATTTCACTTCCCTCTTTTTAAGGTGAAAACTGGGTGGCTGTTTTCGAATCAATGTCTTGCTTCAGAAGTCACTGAAGTTTTGGTTCGAGGGCATCGAAGCTAAGAACCTCAAAAGCAGAAAGGGTTTGGTTTGCAAATCTGGAGAAATCAGAGCCATTAAGGCTGGAAAAGAGCACTAAGATCAACAAGGCCAACCATCCACGTTTTGTGTCAATGTCAGCAGGCTCCCAATGGAAAGGTTTCCAACACTTGTCTTTGGAAAGACATTCTGGAAGCTGTATCCATCCCTGCCGACCTGCAGCCAACCCTACTCTTCCCTCCTGTTGTTTGGAAGAGAGACATTAAAGAAAGTCCTCCGTATTCAGCTCTCATGTCCTTGAGTTTTAAAAATCTCCCTCGGAATACTTGGAATATACTTGGATGTAGGAATGAAACTGGGATAAAAAACACCACAGCCCAGACTGAAAAATAATGAAATGTGCACTTAACCACCATCATTATTTTCCACAATTCCTATGTATATGCTAGATTGGGTACAATGGTCTTGAATATTGTTCCACACTATTACTGTGCTATAAATTATTTGAGCAAAGCACGGCAAGGCATCGTAATGTAATATATTTTTATAGTGCCATAAAGTAATTATGTGCCAGACAACAAAATCCTACAGAAGTGACATATTTTATGCTTAAATTATAATTACATTAGAAGTGTCTCTTCCATTAAATGTTTATAGAGCGCACATGATTGCTGCTGGTCGACTTGTGAACAAAGACAATTGCACAGAGAGAGCAGGGAGATGCACTGAAGGGATCACGGAATCACCACATGCTTTGGGTTGGAAGGGGCCTTTAAAGGTCACCCAGCCCAACGCCCTGCAGTGAATTTTGGCATTTTTGCTGTGTTTCTGGCCAAAGCTCACAGTAACATCTCTGTTTCATGGCCTGAGCTCTGCTGCATGGCTGAGAAAACTGCCAGCGTCCCAGGAGCTGCAGAGTTGGTTTCTCCTTTGTTTCGCCTCTTCTGGAAATGAGGAATGGGATGAATTGCCCAGGGTATTACTGGGACTCCTACAGCTCCAGTTACAAGAAAGCTACAACTTCTCTTCACTGTGACTCAAATCAACGTCTTCCAATACCATTTTTCCATTGATCTTGCAATGTTTCAGCACAGAACAGACAATCACATCCTCAAATTTGTACTTAGAGCCAGGAGTGCCTTTTCCTCAATGGGAAGAGCCCAGAGCTGTGGATATTTGCTTTAAAGCTGCAAGTAAGGGCTGCAGCCCGCAGGAAAGGCCCCCATCCCTCCAAATGGGGTGCAGGGATTTTTCTTAGCTCTTGTCTAGCTTGGGTTAAAATGACCAAAAAACCATGCGGGGAGGGGACTGCCCTGTGCTCCTTGCTGCTAACAAGGCAACAGGGTGGTTTCTGCATGGATGCTGCAGAAGAAGTGAAAAGAGCAATGTGGCAGCAAGGGCCCCACGGCCATCCCCTGCCATGGCACTCTGCTGGGAGCAAAGCTCTGCGGTGAGGCCATGTGGGAGCACCTCCCACCTCCCCAGCGCTCACCGAGTGCCACATGCTTGTGTCTGGTGGTGGGATAATGGCTCGAGTCTGCAAGGAAATGGCTTATGTGGTTTCAGCCCAGCTTTTCCTGGAAAGTGCCCAGCTCCCACCTCCCGGCTCTGTTGCTCTTCCTGCGTGACTCACGCGGGCACACAGCGTCCCAAAGGTGGGTGTTTGCCACGTTCTGAAGGAGGTGACATCTTTCCAGGGAGCATGGCTTGGGCAAAACAGCAAGAGGAGAGGGCAGGGAGAAGAGGGGACTTTGGGTTTGCCATCCCAGCTTGGTTTCCTGCCATTGTGGGACCTTTAGAAGTGACTTTGCTCTGCGTGCCTCAGTTTCCCCATCCAGGCGGGAGCTGTGCACAAGGACAGGAGTACAGGATGAGCAACCAACACTGTGCAAACAGTGCCACACACAGGAGCGGTGTGAAGATACACAAAGTGCCCTTGCAAAGGCATCGACACCCGCAAAGCCCACGTGAGAAGCGAGGGCAGTTAAACAAGGCTTTGCAAAGGCTGCGTTTGTCTCCATTCAGCTGCCCCCAGCCTGTCTGTCTGTCTGTTCAGGAGGAGAAAGCAGGGGTTAAATTCAGCCTTCAGAGCTGAAATATTCCAAACATAAGGCGGATGTGGCATTTCCCAGGCTGCATGGAAATCAGAGACGCGTGCAGCCGCGGCCATGGCAGCACATGTGCAGGGTTTATATGGAGGAACCACATTGCCTGCTTTTTTTTTTTTTCTGCTTAAACCCATCCAGACTGAAGCACTCCAGCCCTAAGTCATGCTGCAGTACGGGGTTTCTCCCACAGGACAGGAGGCATGGAATCTACCTTCAGTTCTTGACCTGAAGGCAGTGCCTTTTTGCAACGAGCTGCAGATCCCCACCAGCTCTGGAGCTTTCTCTCCCTCTGCATCCTGCCAGAAGCTATGCAACAACAGGAAACTGTTGGAGGGACTGTTGTGCATTAGCTACAATGCAACTACTAGCTGCAGCCTGACAAAGGCTTCCTGCACTCCTTCCCAGGCAGTGAAGATGTGGCCTCAGGCAGAGGTCAG